ATGGGTGATGAGGCTTGTGCTTCAGAGGTGGTGCCAGCAACGGGGCCAGGACCGCTTCCCGCGATTGACCTCATGGATATCGTCGCCTTCGAGCCGCACGACCACCTGCTGCAACCGCTAGCCGTTCCAGCACCACCAGTACCGCAGCCACTACCGCCTGCAGCAGCTGCTGCAGCACACCACCAGGTCCTTGAGCGAGCTCGTCCGAGCAGGAAGGGATCGTTTGGACATGGCAGGCATGGTACCAAGGACGACAGGGATAAACTTTTGCACTACGTTCGAGAACAGCGAGCAAGTCGTCGCCTTCGACACTGCCTTGCGGCCCCGCCTGAAGCGATGGGCCGTCAGATCAGTCGTCAGACATTTCAAGTTGGCCAAGTGTTCGAACAGCGCACTTCGCCTGTGCATTCGACGTCGCACGAAGACAGGTCAGACACGCGCTGAGAGTAGACTGTTCTCCATGGGCGGCGTGCTCGAGGTCGCGTACGACTATGGGAGCCGCCCGGCTGTCGTGGCTGCTCTGCACGGCATCTCTGTGAATTCGGTTCAGACCATGCGGCGCGTGACCGCCGCAGCTTTTTTACATTGCCAGCACCTCGGCTTAGGGCAGCTGGTCAAGTTATGTCAGCACACGAAACCTTCGTTTGTGATTTCGAGGCTCGCTTTCGACGAGACTGGCGAGAAGCTGACCGTCCCTGTGCCTGGAACCTCTGGCGATGCTGCAGGGACGAACAACGCGCGGCACATTTTCGTGGCGCGGCTTTCTCTTCATGTTGGGTGGACTGGCCGTGCTGGGATGGACGAGACTGTTGTCAGGCAAGACCTGGTTTTGCCGAACTTGATCTTCGCGGCGCCGAATGCTCCACAGATCATCGCAAATTTATTTGGACACAAAGCCTACACGCCAGTGTTTGCGGCGCTGGATATGTTGCGTTCGCTGGCCGACAACGCCATTTCATTATTGGAGGTGGATGGGGCCTCGCCGAACGAGATGTTCTGGGCGCACCTGCTGGATCTGAACCGCGACAAGTCGCTTCTCGATTGCAGGTGATACGATCAGCTCACCAACAATCCCACATCATTAAACTTCCAGAGCAACCCACTCCCCATCTCCATCTCCGACCCCCGAAGCGCCAACGATGGTTGGATGTCGGGGGGTCGGGGGTGGCGGCGATGGCGGGGGGGTGTGGGGTGGTGGGTTTGTGTGTGGGTGGGGTGGTGTCATGGGTGTTTGATTTTCGGCCAGATGGGTCCGAGGCTGCCCTTGAGGCCTTGAGGTTCCTGAAAGGTCCAAGGCCGAATATTTCTCTATAGTTGTAATCCCCAGAGGTTTGTATGTCGCCCCCACGGTGCCAGTCTTATTGAACGCAGTGTTCTCGCAGCGGTGGGTGGTAAGGTTCTCACGCGCTTGTACAGCCTCGGATTGTTGTTTAGCACGGCAGCATACTTCGTGAAAATGACTAAACAGTTGAACGCACTCTTTATGGAGACGGACTTGTTGGTGATTCGAGGGAGGGCTGACGCCGACCCCATCCTGCTTGATGCCGCGAGGGAGTACGCGTTGGAAGTCATTCACTTCATTGCGTGCCACCATCGGCCGAAACAGACGTCCAAGAGAGAGACTGGCAGAGACCAAGACGCGCTGGACGACTACACCTATGTGAACGACTTCGACATCGAGGCGCTCTATGACCACCCGGAGCTCTTGGATAGAATCAGGCCTGAAGGGTACATGCCACATTGACCACCACGTGCAATCTGAACTGCCAGATCTTGGGGCAGGGTCATCACAGGCCCAGGATCTGGCAGTTTCGACTGCACGAGGTGGGTCACCATGGAAGTCCCATAGCCAATAGGAACGCTGGTCTGAGGAAGACGGTGTCATGTTTGATGGAACTCGTGGCGATTTGCAATGGACCGTGGTGGGGACATGTCGACGTTCCCACTTCATGTCGCATCCTAATCCTTCTCCTGCCTCCCTCTCCTTTTCTCTCTCTCTCTCTCTCTCTCTCTCTCGCTCTCGCTCTCGCTCTCCCTCCCTCCCTCCTTCCTGCACCTCCCCCCCTCCTTCCTGCCTTCCTGCATCTCCCTCCTTCCTCCACCTCCTCCCCCCTTCCTGCACTCGCATCCTCCCTCCCTCCTTCCTGCGCCTCCTCCGCCTTCCAGCTCATCGTCCTCCATCTTGTTTTTGGTTTTTGGCAAGGTGGGGCAACGCGTGCGCGCAGCACATATGTACTGGTCCATCTTGCTGCTCATCTCGGAAGCACACTGCCCGGAAGGTGATCGATGCGATTCGCAAAACTGTGTTCAATCATGCGCCGGCAACGCCAGCAGCGAACAAGTGGTTGAAACTCACGCCCGCGGTCGACACCATTGTGTTTGGACACGCTGTGCATGCTATCTCGCCACGTGCCTTTTCAGCTCTCCGCGTGAAAGACACTCATAGCACGCCCCACGACGCCGATATGGACCACCAGCTTCTCCACGATCTGTGCTTTTCGGAGGTCGCCGGAGTGCGGTTCAAAAAGGCCGAGGAGTTCCTGTTTGATGTTGATACTCCTAAGCGCCTCGTCATGCTTGGCATCGTGCTTGAGCCACTATCAGAGTTGACAGGGTGGCTTTGACGGCGGGGTCGAGATCGTGAAGATCATGTGCAAAGGCGGCCTGTCATGGACCTGCTCCACGGGCCTGTTTCAATTCTTACTGCAGCGCTTCAATACTTGAGCTCGTTGCTGAGCGGCGAGCCGAAACGCCTCATCCTGCTTTGGAGACAATCAGCACCATCTTTCACGGAATGGTTTCAACGCACCTGGGAGTTCCGCCTTCTTCGGAGAATGGTCTTGCTTGTGAGCGCTCAGCTGCATCGCCGATTCGTGATGGTTGTGAATGATTTCCCCTGGGTGCTTGTCAAGTTGGCGGACGCGAGGGTCCCCGACCCCGAGAAGCAGCGCATTGCCACCTTGTTCGATGAGAAACGGCGGCGCTGCTTGCCCGGCGGATTCGCTCGCAAGCTGAAAGGCCCGAGGCGGCGCAAGCAACTCTAGCCGTCTCGCCGAGGCCAAGGGCAGGGGCCCCAGCTTCGAACTCGCATTGTGATGAATTGCGACAGTGGAAGCTGGGGCTCATGCCCTTTGGCCTGGGCGGCACGGCCTCTGAGATGTCTACGCCGCTGAGATCGTGGAGTCCGCGGGCGCCATCTGCAGCAGGATCCCTCGTGGCAGTTGACCTTGAATTGGTTCGCGAGCTCTCTGAAATTGCAAACGGTTGACAGTGAGTGGAGGCATAAACACAACAGAGTTCGCAGCCACAACCACGGCAAAACGGCATGGGCCACCCTCAGCGCAGGGTATATCAATGGAGAGGCCATGGCCCAACACAGTGCATATCGCAAGGAGTCTGGAGCGACACGTGACGCCACCACGCCGCCGCCGCTGCAGTCCAAGCCCAAGCGGGCCCTCGGCGCTTACGAGCTTTTCCGCACAGAGAAGATCAACAGGGACAAACTGATGAGGAAGGTCCAGATCACCGACCCTCTGCACCACCAGGACTCGCGAAGCAAAACACAATTCGTCCTGTCATGCTTCCTCTTCATCTCGCTCTCCTCCACCTCCTACTCCCATATTGAGTCAAAGAATCTTGAGCCACGCCCTCCTCCACCTCCTCCACTTCCACCTCCCGCCTCCGCCAACTCGACCTCTTCATTCTGCCCCGCCTCCACCTCTACCTTCTACCTGCTGCTCTCTGCATCCGTTTTCTGTCCTGCTGCACCCTGCTGCTGCTGCTGCCTCCTGCTGCCTTCTGCCGCCTCATTCATTCTTCCCCATCGTGTCATGTACTCCTCCCTTTTTTTCTTCTGATCTCGGCCCGCAAGAAGTGTTGGCGGAGTGGCAGGCCCTCGGCGATGAGCAGGCTACGTACATGCAGAGAGCATCGAACCTCGCTTCGGAGGCTGTCATTGCTCGGGCACTTGGTCCTGAACCGATTGCTGACGTGGAGCCGCCGCCTGATCCTGCTGCCAGCGCGGCTGGACTCATCGCTGTAGCTGGTGCAGGCGGTGCCATCTGCCCTTGTTGCGGCGTTGCTGAGCACGAGTGCCGGAAACCGAAGCCGTCATCATTGTGCCCCTATGTCGGTCATCGACAGCCAGACACGTTGTCCATCTTCGATGCGGACTGTGAGAAGTCAGCCAAGGCCAGTGAGTATCCTCTCTCGACATCCACCATAGTGCAGTACCGGGAGCACTGCAAGAAACCCTTCGTCAATATAGCTGAGGACTTCAAGGCAGTGGTTGCGCCATGTGCGTTGAGGCGACATATTCAGGAGTTCCCGAGCAAAGTGCGGTACGACAAGTGTTGTGGGTCGCTGTGCAAGAACAATCCTGAGGTTGTCTCAGATCTAACCCTGAAGCGGCATGCGAACATACTCGAAGCACTGTGCGCCATTGCAAAGCGGTTTGGGAAATGCGGCATGTTGGTTCACGCAGACCTCGTGCTTGTGTTCTCTGCCCGCGTCGGCGGCGCCACCAAGTATATTTTCGCTTGGATGTGTGAGTGTGCTGGGCGGTATGGTCACAAGCCTGCTCATCATACCTTCGCTTTGTTAGAACAAGTAAGTCTAATCGCTCCTCCGGACGATCTCGCAGGAGTCGAACTGAGGTTGTCACGAATTGCGATGGTGGATTTGGTTGGGAAGTTCAGGCCGCCGCTTCATCGACAGCACGTTGGGCCCATTCACTTCATGTCGGAGGATGAGCTGGCCAGCCACTTGCTGAAGGAGCGCCCTGACGTGAGGCGCCTCGATATTCGGCGCGTTCTCTTCGAAGACATCGCACTGGATGTGATTCGCGTGTGTCGGTGCGACCCCGCGTTCGAGACAGTACCTGTTGTGGTCGAAGCTGTCGTCATTGCCTTGGGGGGTGGAATTGGCGGAGGAAGAGGCGGGGGCGGTAAAGGCAAGGGTCGTGGGGCGGGCAAGGGTGCAGATACTGACATATCGTTCCTGTTGGATTCGCCCAAGCGCAAGACGACGCACGTCGAGCAGCCTGTGCTTGCCGATGTCGATGCCGAGGACGATGAGGACGATTCTGTGGAGCACGAAGGCATGGAATATTACAATGCTGAAACGGAAGCTGTGAGCATGATCGCCGAGCTGGCAAAGCAGCTGGGCCCTCCCGAGGCAGAGCTGAAGGCGAACTCACCGTTCTTGACATGCCTGTCCGCCATGGAGTCCGAGCTTGCCCTGCCGCCAGACTTTGCAGTCGAGCTTGGTGCCGTTGCTCACCACGCGGCTGCATCTGTGGTGGTGGGCGCTGTTGGGCGACTTATGTTGTGCACAACCTATGCGGTGCAACCAACGTGGCGCAATCCATGTGGTGCGCAATATGTGTGGTGCAATCGACGTGATGCAATATGTGTGGTGCAATGTATGTTATACAATCTACGTGTGCAATCTATGCGGTGCAAACTATCACTTGCTCAACTGGAAGCTGTCCTCTCCACTGCTCGTGCAAAAATCCCACCCTCCCACCCGCAACTTGGTCGCACGACTTCTTAAGACCGTGCCGGTAGGTACCAAATGGCACTTGGCAACAACACCGACGCCGACGTCGGCAGCGACAACGACGACGACGCCGCCGCCGACAACGACTACGACGACATCGACGGCGTCTCCAACGACTTAGACGACGACGACGACACCGCCGACGACGACGACGCCGACGCCGACGACGACGACGACGATGACAACGCTGACGACAACGACGACGCCGACGACGACGACGCCGACGACGCCGCCGACGACGACGACGCCGACGACGAAGACGACGACGACGACGTCGCCAACGACGACGACGACAAGGGAGGAGTGAGGACGACGACGGCGACACCGACGACAACGACGAGGGAGGAGGGAGGACGTTGACGACGCGAACGACGAAGAAGGAGGGAGGACGGCGACGCCGACGACGACAATGACGAGGAAGGTGGGGAGATGACGACGACGACGACTGCGACGAAATAGGAGGGACGACGACGAGACGCCGACGACGGACGA